TAAAAAGTAAAAGTATAGGATTTTCGGAAAATAGGCCTCAGGGCTTAAGAGGTTAACATAGACTATAGCACTGTTGTTTAAGAGTGTTTAAGACATTTGATAAGCTGATATACATAAGTTTCCTTTTACGTTTGTTATTGTAGTTTCTGGGTTATGTTTGATTTAAATATGCAAGAAGATTCTGTTATATTGAAGTTAGAATAGGGATAACTACCATTTGTAAATCAAAATGTTACAACCTGATGAAAGGACTGAAGGTAATTTAGAACAAGCCGCAAAGCCACAATCAGCAGACGTGGCTACAGAGCAACATGAAGAACCTCGTCGAAGTGAAAGAGCTCGTACATTAACAGAAAAGGGAAAAGTCCTTCAAAGAGAAAGTTTAGAGGGACTCATGTTACGTTTTGACACGATCTACGAGCGATGGAAAGCCCTAGCTAAGTTGGCTAAAAAAGCTGTGATAAGACAAGATCCTAAGGACATTCTGCAGGAACACATCAGTTCTGTAGAAAAGGAACTGTCAGCACTAAACAGTGTGTATGATGACTACAGAAGTACAGATAGTCCACCTCATGACATGCGTCATAAGTTGGATAAGGCTGTTTCGGTTACCAAGATTGTTTTCCAAAATGCACAGTCTCAGACACAAGGGGAAAGGGAGGAGATTATTTGGCCTGATGCTAGTTCAGTGTTCGCATCCTCAAGTTCTAGTGTTTCACTTCCAGTCTCTGGCCACTCTAAAAGGACTTTGAGTCACTCTGTAGCATCCTCACTCAGTAGACAAGAAGCAGCAGCAGAGTATGCAGCCACAAGGGCTGTGTTGCAGATTATGGCTGAGCAGGATTGTTGTAGAGAAGAGTTGGATAAACTTGAGGCTGAGAATAAGTTAATAGTAGCAGAACAAGAAACTGCTGCTTGCACTCGTCGCCTTGAGAGAGAAAGAGAAGAGTATGAACGTAAAATCATGAAGGAAAAACAAGAAGCTGCTCTTTTAAGGAGACAACAAGAAGAGAATGTTGAGAGAAAGCGTTCTGTTGAGAACTTGAAAAGAGAGGTTGAGCGTTTGGAAGAACTTAAAAAGTTACATGCAGCTAAAGCAAGGCTTAAGGTGTATGATGAAGATGTGTTTCATCTAACACAAGCAGTACCTCTGTGTTCTGAAGTAACTCATCTGGATCAAGGAGTTAGAAAACAGTCTGTGAATCAGTACTCTGACACAGCTACAAGTTTAAAGGGTGACTCTCAGAAAGACACAGTGGAGCTCGTGAAGGTCTTAGCTGAGGCGTCTGCAAATAGGTTGCCCATTCCAGAACCAACCATCTTCAGTGGGGATTCACTGAAGTTCAGTCATTGGAAGTCATCCTTTCAGACATTAATTGAGAGGAAAAATATTCCAGCAGCAGAAAAGATGTTCTTTCTCCAGAAATATTTGGGAGGAGCAGCGAGAGAAGCTGTAGAGGGCTTTTTTCTGACTGGATCAGAAGCATCTTATGAGAGGGCATGGAATTTGCTGAATGAAAGATACGGTGAACCATTTGCTATAGCAAAGGCGTTCCGAGATAAGTTGCATGCCTGGCCAAAGGTAGCACATAGAGAAAGTTCTGATTTGAGGAAGTTTGTGGATTTTTTGCACAGCTGTGAGTCAGCGATGGTTGAGAATGAGAATCTTAACGTACTCAATGATGCGATCGAGAATCAGAAAATGGCAGCAAAACTACCTGATTGGTTGAGTACTGCGTGGAACAGAAAGGCCACAGAGTACCAACTGGAACACAGACGATTTCCAAAGTTCTGCTATTTTGTAACTTTCCTGACGATGGAGGCAAACATTGCTTGTAATCCTATAACATCTTACACTGCTCTACATCATGATCAGTCAGATAAAAGAGTAAAATAAAGCCGCAAAACTTTGTATCATCCAAAGGTCAAACCATCGGGACTAAAAGCTTCACAACCAACGTTAGTGAAAGGAAGATAGATACATGTGGCTTTTGTAAAAAGGTAGGTCACTTATTAACTGTCGGAACTTAATCAGAAAGCCAATCGCTGAGCGTGTCAAATTCATACAAAGTGAGAAACTTTGTTTTGTCTGTTTAAATCCTGGTCATTATTCCAAATACTGCAAGAGTCGGATGACATGCAGTTTTTGTTCAAAGCGCCACCCATCATGCTTACATGAAGAGCGCCCAAAACAAGGACGGCAACTTCCTTGTGACCAAGCTAAAGAAACTGTAGAGGTTAAGGAAAAAAGGTCACTTTCCACAGTGCAACCACAAGAAGCAGATGTTTTCAAAGAGACTACATCTAACAGAGTTGTAAATGAGGGAAGCAGCACACAAACCTCAGCAATAGTTCCGGTCTATGTTTCAACACAAAGTGATCCGACAAAGGAAGTTCTCACTTATGCTTTGCTAGATTCACAAAGTGATTCTTCATTTATTTTAGATGAAGTAGCTGATGGGTTAGATATAAACTCAGAAAGGGTGAAACTAAAGTTATCTACAATGTCATCTAGGGCAACCATCGTACCATGTGGGAGAATTCAAGGTCTACAAATCAGAGGACTGTCTTCTTCTAAAAGAATCACAGTGCCAGTAGTGTATACCCGTGAGTTTATCCCAGCTAACCATAAACATATCCCGACACCAGAAACTGCCAAGGCATGGCCTCATTTGGAGCACCTTGCTGAATATATCTCCCCAGAAAGGGAGTGTGAAATTGGTCTCTTAATCGGGTATAATTGCCCTCAGGCTCTTTTACCCAGAGAAGTTGTGTGTGGAGAAGAAAGCCAACCTTATGCACAAAAAACTGATTTAGGTTGGAGCATAGTGAGTTATGGTGATGCCTCTGAACTCAGTAGTGATGCAATTGGTGTAAGTCATCGCATTGTTGTAAAGCAAGTGATACCTGAACCCAAAGCAACAGTGAAGCTCAAACGTGAAGTACACTACGTGTGTAGGACGCAGATCAAGGAGATGGTCACTCCTGATGACGTGCTTAAAGTGCTAGAGTCAGATTTCAGTGAAAGAGTCGAAGAAGCAGCTTTTTCCCAGGAAGATCTTGATTTCTTAAGCAAATTAAGAAATGGAATCAAGCATAAACCAGACTTTCTGTGGGAAAGAAATCTTCCAGTTCCAGATGATAAGGTACAGGTGCTAAATGTAAAAGCTGAAGAGCAAAGAACATTGTTAGATCGCCTGACAAAGTTTTCCGACTGGAAAAGAGCTGTAAAAGCAATTGCTTGTCTCAAAAGATTTGCTAATCAAATCAAAGGTGCTAAACCTAAAGGGTATGAAGCTACCAGCATTGAGGAACGGAAAGAAGCAGAAATGTTTATATTCAGATTGACCCAAGAGGAAGCGTTTAACAGAGAAATAAACAGCATAAAAAGGTGTGAGGAGATAAAACCAAAGGACAAAGCCAGTCAGCTTTACAAACTTAGTCCATTCTTAGATGAACATGGTGTTCTCAGAGTTGGTGGACGTTTGACAAGATCATGTCTTCATCCTCACATCAAGCATCCAGCCATCTTGCCAAAGTCAAGTCATGTTTCGTCCTTGTTGATCAAACATTACCATGAGAAGGTGCATCATCAAGGAAGGGGAATCACTCAGAATGAGTTACGGTCCAGCGGAATATGGATCATAGGGTGTAGCAGGGTAGTGCACTCTCATATTTACAAATGCATCGTCTGCAGAAAGTACAGAAGAAACACACAAGACCCAAAAATGTCAGATTTACCTGAGGATAGGATGGAAATATCCCCACCTTTCACCTACTGTGGGATAGACTGTTTTGGTCCATTTTATGTAAGAGATGCCAGAAAGGAACTGAAAAAATACGGACTTCTCTTTACATGTATGTCTTCCAGAGCAGTACATATTGAGATGTTAGATGATCTCACTACTGATGCTTTCATTAATGCTTTGCGTGCGTTCATTGCAATCAGAGGAAAGGTCAGACAGTTGAGGTGTGATCAGGGCACTAATTTTGTTGGTGCAAACAAAGAGTTTATGAATGCAATGAAAGGGTTAAATGAGGAACAGTTGAAAGAACATGGATGTGAATTCCTCATGAATGTCCCATCAGCTAGCCATATGGGTGGTGTGTGGGAAAGGCAAATAAGAACTATCCGAAGTGTTCTAACTGCAATTTTGGATCAGTCTTCCAAAAGACTTGACAGTTCATCCTTTGTTTTTGTAAAAATTAAAAAGATTTCATGTTTTACCCTTTTCAACTGGTTTTAGATAGACAAAGAACTTAGTAACTTTGCTAAGATTTATCAGGTTCTTTGGTGTAATGGTTAGCACTCTGGACTCTGAATCAAGTGGTCCGAGTTCAAATCTCGGCAGGACCTTTTTTTCTGCTAACAATAAAAAAAATATTGTGTTTTGCTGGTGAAAACTGGTTAAAGATAGAAATAGCAATTATTATCTCGTCTATGAAGTGTGTGTTTCTATCGTGTAATGGTTAGCACTCTGGACTTTGAATCCAGCGACCTGAGTTCAAATCTCGGTAGGACCTTTTTTTCTGCTACCATTAAAGAGGTTTATTGTTTTGCCAGTTAAAACTGATTTGCTAAGATTTATTAGGTTCTATGGTGTAATGGTTAGCCCGCTGGACCTTTGTTTTGGTGAAAATAAAAAAGATTTCATGTTTTCCTTGTTTTAACTGTTTAGAGACAAAAAACTTAGTAACTGTGCCAAGATTTAACTGGTTATATGGTGTAATGGTTAGCACTCTGGACTCTGAATCCAGCGATCCGTGTTCAAATTTCGGTAGGATCTTTTTTTTCTGCTAACCATTAAAGAGGTTTATTGTTTTGCCGGTTAAAACTGATTTTAGATAGAAAAAATACTTATTAACTAAAATACAATCAGCAATCTGAGTTCAAATCTTGGTAGGACCTTTATTTTGGTAAAAAGAAAAAAGAGTTCATGTTTTCCTTTTTTTAACTGTTTGGAGACAAAAAAACTTAGTAACTGTGCCAAGATTTGTCAGGTTCTATGGTGTAATGGTTAGCCCTCCAGACTCTATATCAAGTGATCCGAGTTCAAATATCAGTAGGACCTTTGTTTTGGTAAAAATAAAAAAAGGGTTCAAATCTCAAAGCTAAAATTTAGCAGGTACTATGGTGTAAGCGTTAGCTCTCTGGATTCTGAATCCATGGATTCGAGTTCAAATTTCGGTAGGACCATTTAAAAAAAATATATATATATATTTCATGTTTTCCTTGTTTCAACTGGTTTGAGATAGACAAAGATCTTAGTAACTGTGTGAAGATTTATCAGGTTCTATGGTGTAATGGTTAGCACGCTGGACTCTGAATCCAGCAATCTGAGTTCAAATCTCGTTAGGACATTTATTTTGGTAAAAAAAAAAAGATTTCATGTTTTTCTTGTTTTAACTGTTTGTAGATAGACAAAGAACTTAGTAACTGTGCTAAGATTTATCAGGTTCTATGATGTAATAGTTAGCACTCTGGACTCTGAATCCAGCAATCCGAGTTCAAATCTCGGTAGGACCTTTTTTTCTGCTAACCATTAAAGAGGTTTATTGTTTTGCCGGTTAAAACTGATTTTAGATACACAAAATAATTATTGACCTAAGTAAGAGATGTCTGGTTGTATGGTGTAATGGTTAGCACTCTGGACTCTGAATCCAGTGATCCAAGTTCAAATCTCGGAAGGACCTTTGTTTTGGTAAAAATAAAAAAGATTTCATGTTTTCCTTGTTTTAACTGTTTAGAGACAAAAAACTTAGTAACAGTGCCAAGATTTATCTGGTTTTATGGTGTAAAGGTTAGCACTCTGGACTCTGAATCCAGTGATCTGAGTTCAAATTTTAGTAGGACCTTTGTTTTGGTAAAAATAAAAAAGATTTAATGTTTTACCCTTTTCCACTGGTTTGAGATAGATAAACAACTTAGTAACTGTGCGAAGATTTATCAGGTTCTATGGTGTAATGGTTAGCACGCTGGACTCTGAATCCAGCAATCTGAGGTCAAAACTCGGTAGGACATTTATTTTGGTAAAACAAAAAAGATTTCATGTTTTCCTTGTTTTAACTGTTTGTAGATAGACAAAGAACTTAGTAACTGTGCCAAGATTTAACAGGTTCTATGGTGTAATGGTTAGCACTCTGGACTTTGAATCCAGCGATCCGAGTTCAAATCTTGGTAGGACCGTTTTTTTTCTGCTAACCATTAAAGAGGTTTTTTGTTTTGCCGGTTAAAACTGATTTTAGATAGACAAAATACTTATTGACCTAAGTAAGAGTTGTCTGGTTGTATGGTGCAATGGTTAGCACTCTGGACTCTGAATCCAGCGATCCGAGTTCAAATCTCGGTAGGACCTTTTTTTCTGCTAACAATAAAAAAATATTGTGTTTTGCTGGTGAAAACTGGTTGAAGATAGACATAGGACTTATTATCTCACCTATTAAGTGTGTGGTTCTATGGTGTAATGGTTAGCACTCTGGACTTTGAATGCAGCGGTCCGAGTTCAAATCTTGGTAGGACTTTTTTTTCTGCTAACCATTAAAGAGGTTTATTGTTTTGCCGGTTAAAACTGATTTTAGATAGACAAAATACTTATTAACTAAAATACAATCAGCAATCTGAGTTCAAATCTTGGTAGGACCTTTATTTTGGTAAAAAGAAAAAAGAGTTCATGTTTTCCTTTTTTAACTGTTTGGAGACAAAAAAACTTAGTAACTGTGCCAAGATTTGTCAGGTTCTATGGTGTAATGGTTAGCCCTCTGGACTCTATATCAAGTGATCCGAGTTCAAATATCAATAAGACCTTTGTTTTGGTAAAAATAAAAAAGAGTTCAAATCTCAAAGCTAAAATTTAGCAGGTACTATGGTGTAAGCGTTAGCTCTCTGGATTCTGAATCCATGGATTCGAGTTCAAATCTCGGTGGGACCATTTAAAAAAAATATATATATATTTCATGTTTTCCTTGTTTCAACTGATTTGAGATAGACAAAGATCTTAGTAACTGTGTGAAGATTTATCAGGTTCTATGGTGTAATGGTTAGCACGCTGTACTCTGAATCCAGCAATCTGAGTTCAAATCTCGGTAGGACCATTTGTTTGTTAAAAAAAAACAAATATTTCATGTTTTCCTTGTTTCAACTGGTTAGAGATAGACAAAAAACTTAGTATCTCAGATAAGAAACATGTGGTTTTATTGTGTAATTGTTAGCACTCTGCACTTTGAATCCAGCGATCCGAGTTCAAATCTTGGTAGGACCTTTTTTTTCTGCTAACCATTAAAGAGGTTTATTGTTTTGCCGGTTAAAACTGATTTTAGATACACAAAATAATTATTGACCTAAGAAAGAGATGTCTGGTTGTATGGTGTAATGGTTAGCACTCTGGACTCTGAATCCAGTGATCCAAGTTCAAATCTCGGAAGGACCTTTGTTTTGGTAAAAATAAAAAAGATTTCATGTTTTTTTTGTTTTAACTGTTTAGAGACAAAAAACTTAGTAACAGTGCCAAGATTTATCTGGTTTTATGGTGTAAAGATTAGAACTCTGGACTCTGAATCCAGTGATCTGAGTTCAAATCTCGGTAGGACCTTTTTTCTGCTAACAATAAAAAAATTTCAGTGTTTTGCTGGCTAAAACTGGTTGAAGATAGACATAGGACGTATTATCTCAAATATTAAATGTCTGGTTCTATGGTGTAATGGTTAGCACTCTGGACTTTGAATCCAGCGATCTGAGTTCAAATATCGGTAGGACCATTTTTTTGTTAAAAAAAAAACAAATATTTCATGTTTTCCTTGTTTCAACTGGTTAGAGATAGACAAAAAACTTAGTATCTCAGATAAGAAACATGTGGTTCTATTGTGTAATTGTTAGCACTCTGCACTTTGAATCCAGCGATCCGAGTTCAAATCTTGGTAGGACCTTTTCTTTCTGCTAACCATTAAAGAGGTTTATTGTTTTGCCGGTTAAAACTGATTTTAGATACACAAAATAATTATTGACCTAAGAAAGAGATGTCTGGTTGTATGCTGTAATGGTTAGCACTCTGGACTCTGAATCCAGTGATCCAAGTTCAAATCTCGGAAGGACCTTTGTTTTGGTAAAAATAAAAAAGATTTCATGTTTTCCTTGTTTTAACTGTTTAGAGACAAAAAACTTAGTAACAGTGCCAAGATTTTTTTGGTTTTATGGTGTAAAGGTTAGAACTCTGGACTCTGAATCCAGTGATCTGAGTTCAAATCTCGGTAGGACCTTTTTTCTGCTAACAATAAAAAAATTTCAGTGTTTTGCTGGCTAAAACTGGTTGAAGATAGACATAGGACGTATTATCTCAAATATTAAATGTCTGGTTCTATGGTGTAATGGTTAGCACTCTGGACTTTGAATCCAGCGATCTGAGTTCAAATCTCGGTAGGACCATTTTTTTTGTTAAAAAAAACAAATATTTCATGTTTTCCTTGTTTCAACTGGTTAGAGATAGACAAAAAACTTAGTATCTCAGATAAGAAACATGTGGTTCTATTGTGTAATTGTTAGCACTCTGCACTTTGAATCCAGCGATCCGAGTTCAAATCTTGGTAGGACCTTTTCTTTCTGCTAACCATTAAAGAGGTTTATTGTTTTGCCGGTTAAAACTGATTTTAGATACACAAAATAATTATTGACCTAAGAAAGAGATGTCTGGTTGTAAGGTGGTATGGTTAGCACTCTGGACTCTGAATCCAGTGATCCAAGTTCAAATCTCGGAAGGACCTTTGTTTTGGTAAAAATAAAAAAGATTTCATGTTTTCCTTGTTTCAACTGGTTTTAGATAGACAAAGATCTTAGTAACTGTGTTAAGATTTATCAGGTTCTATGGTGTAAATGTTAGCACTCTAGACTCTGAATCTAGTGAACTGAGTTCATATCTCGGTAGGACCTTTTTTCTGCTAACAATAAAAAAATTTCAGTGTTTTGCTGGCTAAAACTGGTTGAAGATAGACATAGGACGTATTATCTCAAATATTAAATGTCTGGTTCTATGGTGTAATGGTTAGCACTCTGGACTTTGAATCCAGCGATCTGAGTTCAAATCTCGGTAGGACCATTTTTTTTGTTAAAAAAAAAACAAATATTTCATGTTTTCCTTGTTTCAACTGGTTAGAGATAGACAAAAAACTTAGTATCTCAGATAAGAAAAGTGTGGTTCTATTGTGTAATGGTTAGCACTCTGCACTTTGAATCCAGCGTTTCGAGTTCAAATCTCGGTAGGACCTTTTTTTTCTGCTAACCATTAAAGAGGTTTATTGGTTTACCGGTTAAAACTGATTTTAGATAGACAAAACACTTATTAACTAAAGTAAGAGATGTCTGGTTGCGTGGTGTAATGGTTAGCACTCTGTACTCTGAATCCAGTGATCTGAGTTAAAATCTCGGTAGGACCTTTATTTTGGTAAAAATAAAAAAGATTTCATATTTTACCCTTTTCAACTGGTTTTAGATAGACAAAGAACTTAGAAACTGTGATAAGATTTATCAGGTTCTATGGTGTAATGGTTAGCACTCTGTACTCTGAATCCAGTGATCTGAGTTCAAATCTCGGTTGGACCTTTGTTTTTGTAAAAATTAAAAAGATTTCATGTTTTACCCTTTTCAACTGGTTTTAGATAGACAAAGAACTTAGAAACTGTGCTAAGATTTATCAGGTTCTATGGTGTAATGGTTAGCACTCTGGACTTTGAATCCAGCGATCTGAGTTCAAATCTCGGTAGGACCATTTTTTTGCTAACAATAAAAAAATTTCAGTGTTTTGCTGGCTAAAACTGGTTGAAGATAGACATAGGACGTATTATCTCAAATATTAAATGTCTGGTTTTATGGTGTAATGGTTAGCACTCTGGACTTTGAATCCAGCGATCTGAGTTCAAATCTCGGTAGGACCATTTTTTTGTTGAAAAAAAAAATATTTCATGTTTTCCTTGTTTCAACTGGTTAGAGATAGACAAAAAACTTAGTATCTCAGATAAGAAAAGTGTGGTTCTATTGTGTAATGGTTAGCACTCTGCACTTTGAATCCAGCGATCCGAGTTCAAA